CTTATTTGTTTGAAAGCACAACTTGTAGAATGAGCAGCAAATGTTGTCGGTTGTTTTTCTTACAGTGTCAAACTCACTTCAGTTTTGGAACAATATCTGCCAGATGCCTGAATCTGAATAATGTTAATTCGTCCGTGGTCATTCTTCCATGTACACATCATGTTCCATGGACAAAGAAGCTAGCTGAGCGCTGAGCCTAAGCAACGTGCGTGTCACCCTGAGGATATCATTGAACTGTGTACAGCTTTACACATTTGTCCCATTGCACTTTATGTAATTGAGTCAAGATTTAATAAGATCAGTAATTTCTACAGCTTCATCGAGAATACTCGGAAGCGAGCTGGCACTCTTATCTGCAAGTACGTAGTGATGAGGAATACATTGACTATCAGCACAGTTTGGTGCCATTGCCTTGGTTAGCACTCTAACATTTTTACCCAACATTGGTTTTGGTGCAAATGTCAATGTGGTGAAAAAAAAAGCACATGTTTTAAGGTTGCTATGAAAATAGTTTTGGCCTTGTAGAACCTCTACAAGAGTGTCTCAGGGAACTACATATCATTCTCTGAGAATTTTAAGTTGTATATACATTATATGCATCTTTAAAATTTTTTTAATTTATTTTAATTATTTGAAAGGCAGATAGTCAGAGAGAAAGGGATTTCTCAGTTGCTGGTTCACTCCCCAAGCATATCCAACAGCCAGGGCTGGGCCAGTCTGAAGCCAAGAATTGGGAACTCAATCTGAGTCTCCTAGGTGAGAGGCAGGAACCCAACCACGTGAGCCATCACATGCCACCTCCCAGGATGTGCACTACCAGGAAGCTGGCTTGGAGAGTTGAGCCAGGACTTGATCCAAGGTACTCTGATGTGGGATGTGTGCATTCCAAGTGCAGTTTAACTGCTATACCAAATGCCTATATATTTATAAAAAGAGTGATTTATTTACTTGAATGCCAGATTTAGAGTGAGAGAGAGCAAGAGAGCACGTGAGAGCATACTCTTCCATCTGCTGGCTCACAAGTACCTGTGCCATCTTTCACTGCTTTTGCCAAAGCAGAGAGCTGGATCAGAAGTAGAGCATGAAGCAGCACCCATATAGGATGCCACCATTGCAGGCAGTGCTGGCCCCTCTATATCTTTTAAATATATATTTTCCAATAATTGAAAAGGAAAAATTTCTGCTAAATGGAGATTTTCCTAAGTCTTTTCATTTGCTTTGTGAATAAAAGAAACAAACTCCTTGTTGAATGGAATTACTCTCTTATTTCGGCTACACTATCTTCATCTCCCAATCATGCAAACTTGAACGTTTTTAAATTTAATTTTTAAAGGAAGTTTCTTAGGTTCACAGCAATAGTGAATGGGAGATACAGAAAACTCTCTTATACCCTCTTTCCCCTCCTATGTATAGCTTCCCTCATTATCAGCATTCCCCACTACAGCAGTGCATTTGCTACAATCAGTGAACTTATGTTGAGATGTCATTGTCACCAAAAGCCCATAGCTTATATTAGGGTTCACTCTTGATGTTGAACATTCGGCTGGCTTTGGACAAATGTGTAATGACAGGAAGTCACCTTTGCAGCATCACACGGTTTCACTGCCCTAACAATCCTCTATGTGCCACCCATTTATCTTTCTCTTCCCCTTAATCCCTGGCAATCCTTGATCCTTTTACTTTCTCCAGTTTTGCCTCTTGCAGAATGTCATATAGCTGGAATCATACACTGTATAGCTTTTTCAACTTAGTTTTTCTAAGTAATATGCACTCAGATTTCCTCCCTGTCTTTTCATGGCTTGATAGCTCATCCTTTTTGTATTGAATAATAAGCTATTGTCTGTGTATACCATAGTTTGTTTATCCATTCACCTACTAACTGACATCTCAATTACTTCCATATTTAAGCAATTATAAATAAAGTTCCTATACACATGTGTGTCAAAGTTTTTGTTTAAACATAAATTTTCAGTTCATTTGAGTAACTACTAAGGAGCTTGATTACTGGATTGTATAGTAAGAGTAGGTTGGATTTCATAAGGAATTGCCACATTGTCTTCTAAAGATGGCTATGCCACCTTGTATTCTCATTAGCAAGAAGGAGAGTTCTTGTTGTCAAAATTTAGTGCTGTATTTGCCAGTATAATTGGCATTTTCAAAGTTCTGGATTATGGCCTTTCTAATAGGTGTGTAGTGGTATGTTATTGTTTTAATCACAATTCCCTAAGAATATATGATGTTGACCCATCTTTTCATGTGTTTACTTACCATCTGTGTATCCTTGGTGAGGTAACCATGTCTTTTGCCCATTTTTAAAATATGTTGTTCATTTTCTTATTATTGAGCTACAAGAGTTCTTTGTACTTTTGGATAACAGCCCTTTATCAAATCAGTCTTTTGCAAATATTTCCTCCCAGTCTGTGATTTGTTTTCTCATTTTCTTGACAGTATCTCTCACAGATTACAGGTTTTTAATTTTAATGAAGACCAGCTTGTCAGTTATTCCTTTTATGGTTGTGGGTTGTATCTTCTGTGTTGCAACTAGAAGGTCATTGCCATAGCCAAAGTCAGTTAGGTTTCCTCCTGTGTTATCTTCAAGGAGCATTATAGTTTATGAATTTTATATATTATGACTGTTTTATATTTATGACTACATTTTGAAATAATTTTTGTAAATCATATGAGGTCTGTGTCCAGACTGATTTTCTTTTGCATGTGGATGTCCAGTTGCTAGAGCATCGTGTTTTTAAATTTTTATTTAATGAATACAAATTTCATATGTACAGCTTTTAGGGATATAGTGTTTCTTCCCCTATTCCCGGCCTCCTACCCCTACTCCGATCCCACCATCCCATCCTACTCTTTCTCCCATTCCATTTTCCATTAAGATTCATATTTAACTGACTTTATATAGAGAAGGCCAACTCTATACTAACTAGAGATTTCAACTATTTGCACCCACACAAACACACAAAGTTTAAGGTACAGTTTGAAGACAAAATTTACTGTTAATGCTGATAGTATACCTCATTAAAGACAGAGGTCCAATATGGGGAGCAAGTAAACAGTGACTCCTGTTGTTGATTTAACAACTGACATTCTTATTTATGATGTCAGTGATGACCCGAGGCTCTTGACATGAGCTGCCAAGGCTGTGGGAGCCATTAAGTCCACAAACTCTGTTGTTTTTATACAAGGCCATATGCAAAGAGGAAGTTCTCTCCTCCTTTCAAAGAAGAGCACATCTACAGCATCATTTGTTAAAAAAGAATATCTTTGCTCCATTGTATTGTCTTTTCTCTTCAGTTAAAGATCAGTTGATTCTATCTGTATTTGTCTTTTTCTAGGATTTCTATTCTGCCCCATTTATTTATTTGTCTATTGTTTCACCAAAATCACCTTACCTTTATTACTTAAGTTTTTTACTTGCATAAGTTTTGAAGCTAAGTAGTGTCACTCCTCCAATTTTTATCTTCTCTTTCAATATTGTGATGGTTAGTCTCAGTCTTTTGCTTCTCCATATACATTTTAGAATCAAGGGTGGGCATTTAGCATAGCAGTTCAAACACCACTTAGGACACTGACATCCTGTCAGAGTGCCCAGGTTCAAGTTCTGACTCTAAGTATGATTTCTTCTTTATGCTTGTGTATACCCTGGGAGGCAGTAAGTGATGGGTCATTCTCATGGGAGATCAGGATTGAGCTCCCAGCTCCTGATTTCAGAATGGCTCAGTTCCCACTGCTGCAGACCTTTGGGGGAGTGAACCAACAGATGGGAAATCTCTATCTGTTTCCCTGACTTCCAAATAAATAAATTTCAGAATCAATAACAATAATTTTTTATTTTGATTCAAATTGCATTGAATTTACAGACCAGGTTGAGAAGAAGTGATATCACTTCAGGAGTATGCAATATCATCATTCCATTTATATACTTCTATGATATCTTTCATCAGAGTTTTGTAGTTTTCTTCACATATAGATCTTTTGCGAATTTTTAAGGTAGCATTTGGCTTTCACACTCCTAAAATGTTTATAATATTTTGACACTGAAATTTTGTTTTGGAAACACTTAAAATCCAAGTATTTAAACTTTAGAGTTTCAGATTACTACACAAAGGTTTTAGCAGCTACCTTTATATGTTTACCAAGAAACTATCAAAAACTATGGAGAGCTGTCCTAGAGATGGACTAAGGAATAAGATGACAATCTGAGATGTCTATTGAGGACATAATTATTTTAGCTTAACCAGTAAAATGTGTTGGCAGCTACATGGTCCATGTCAAAAGAACTACGTCAAGATATCCTATTTGGGTAATTATTGCTATGAAAATGCAAGTTGGCAGCTGGTATCTTGTCTGAGGGAAAAGCCAGTGTAGCTCAAGTGTTCCAGTTGGTAAACCCCAAAGCATATAAATATGATTCTTGGATTCCCTGACTATGAGGACTTCATTTCATTTTATGCCATAAGCCAGATGCTGTAGTTATTTCTACCCTTGCTGCTTTTCTCTCTGGTGTTGCCTGACTCTCAAATATTTGTGGCACTATTTATGCTCTTCCAGTTCATGCATTTCATATCTCCCATTTGTTTCTAGAGTGAATATTTCATGTGGGTTTCCAGTATCATTTTTAGTGATTCATAATCACATTCTACAAGCCAGCATCCTTCATGCTTGGTTTCAGGCCCCAGTGTAATATTTTTGGAGTGCTTATTCGATTGGTTTTGGCTTTTCATGAAGCTAAAACATAATCCAACAACCCACAAACAAAATACAATAATAAATTGGTGGGTAGATGCTATGATTTAACCATGTGTTTTGTTCTCACTGAGAAAATCTCCTGGGTAATTTTGGAAAACAAATTAAAAAGTAATGAATTTCTAAATGATTAAGGATTGCATTTATATATGCAACTATTCTTTTTACCATAATATTTACAGCATATTTAGACATTTGGTCTTAATTTTTAAATTCCAAATCTCCCAGCATTATTTGTAATAGGAATTTATACATATAAATCTCTTTCTATGACCACAGTATTTTAAACACATGGGGTTAGATTTTTAGCTCAAAATATTTGTTGCAGAAAATTGGGCATGACTGGCCTTTAGTGTTGCAGGTTTTAAGTTGCAGAGCTGTGGGTTAATACATCTATTTTCTTTATTATTGTTTTTGTTTAGGGGTTGTACTGATCTTTTGTGGCACCTCCTTCCATTTTTACAGTTACCTCTCACTATTGGAGAAAATATTCTTGCAAACCTAAAAAGAAATTCCCTATTAATGGTTATTCACTACTCATGACTTGTTTCCATGGGTTCTGCAATGATGCTGTGGTTTAACACTGACTGGCAAATAGCCCTCAGAATATTCTGATTCTACAGGAATCCTGCAAAGTGATCAAGGCTCCTTTTCTATGATGTTTTGACACTTGCCAAAGAATACACAAGCATTTTTTCCAGAGAAATATTTTACCTCTCCAATTGTAGTTTTGCTGAATTAGAATTCTTGAACAATAATCATTTCACATTATCAAACTTTATGACAATAACTAAAGCTAAAGTTGAGTAAATTTTGTGTTTCTCATAATGCTTTTTTTTAAAACCAAGAGTTTTATAACATTGAAACGTAACAAAGTCTACTGGTAGGGACCTTGGTTTTAAACCAGAAACCCTAACTCTGAATTCCATTTCTGTAACATAACAACTCTCTGACCATGAGCAAGTTATCTAACCTAAGTTTCTGTTTCTATTAAGTGGGGTTCCTTGACTTACATGGCTTTTGTAAAGATCAAACATGAGTTTATGAGTGCGAATGGGTCTGGCCCTAATCTTGGAACAATAGTGGCTCTCTGAAAGTTTCCCAAGAGCAGATAGAACACATCTTCTGGTGCTCCAGGTGTAAGATAAAACGCTTCCTGAATTTAACTGAGGCAAATTCCTGAAGAGAAAGGCCTCAAGGAGGAGACACTGTGAGTTATGGCTTCTTGTGACTGTGCAGCCACCAATTTTGAATGTGCTAACGTATTGCTCAAGATCTCTTACTCACTGCCCCTGAAAGAACATTGAGTCAGTTGGTGAGCAGTCCTAAGACTATTTCTTACACTGAAACCCCTGGAAGCTGAAAGAGCTTCCTTTGGAAATCTCCAGCGAGGCTGCTTCCTTGCTGTGGAAGTGGAAAGAGCTGTTTCAAAGGAAGTGCATCAGTGAACCTTCTAGATTTTTACTTCTGGCAGGAAATATCAGTGTCCAGATGTGACGGTTCTCCAGTTTTGTTTACAATCGCTGAAGTCTGCCCCTCCTTGCCAAATTAAAGAAATGACCTGGCTGTTCTCCTTCCACTTCAGCTGTAGCCTCCTTGCGGCCAGGGACGGAGCTCACCTCTGACCCTTTGTGACTTCCCTTATTAGTTCTCAGGAAAGTGATTGAATTACAAATCAAATCCTCTTTTCTGTTAAACTCAGACTCTTACTTGATCTTGCTTGTTGCAAGTTTACATTGGGAAGATGGCAAACATTCAATACCAAGTTCTTTATCCTTTGTGTTGAAATTCTGGCTACTGCTTATTTATTTCAGTCTGATCATACTCAGCGTGTTCATGTTTTAATCATTTATTTTTTGAATAAAGATTGATTTATTTATTTGAAAATTAGAGTTACAGAGAGAGAAGAGACAGAGACAGAGAGAGAGAGAGAGATCTTCCATTCACTGGTTCACTCCCCAGATGGATGAACAGCCTGAACCTGGACAGGCCAAAGCCAGCAACCACAAGTTTCTTTCCATGTGGGTGCAGGGGCCCAGGTACTTGGGCCATCCTCCACTGCTTTCCCCAGGCCATTAGCAGGGAGCTCACAGGGACACACACTGGCGCAATATGGAACACCAGGGTCACGGGCAGCAGCTTTACCTGCTATACCACAATGCTGGCTCCTGTGACTTCTCCTTTTAAAAACTATCCACGCATCCCTTTCTGCCAAGTTTCTGAATAGGGTATACACATAAAGGAGAACAGAAACAACGTGAGAAGTGTCCACACCAACTGGATTTCAACCTCTCATATTTCTCTACCTCTCTACCCATACCTTAGACTCTGGACATATACCAGGGTTACTTCTTCCTTCAGAGAAACTTAATAAGATGTTCAAATATAAGATTGAAGACCAGTTACTCCAGACGTAGCTGGTTGATGACTGACCCCTCCAGCTCGGCATTCATTAATAAATGCTAACTGGGTAGTGACAGTGTCCCAGACGCTATGAGAAGCATCTCCTTCCTCTTTTCAGTGTCCTGTACTTACTTCACTGTATCACAAGCTCCTCCTCTTTCTCCCAGGTTCCCACTAAAGTAACATCTTAGGTTGTGCTGTTTATGTTCAGAATTAACCTTTTTGATTCTAGAGTAGACACAAGAAGGGCTGTCACACTTGCACGTTTTCTAAGAGAAAAGCAGTTAATGTTATAAATGGGTAGTGGGGGCTTAGCCTTGACACTTGGCTGCCTGCAAAGGAGTGGGTTGGAATGGCATGGTCTGGCTGCAGTGGCTGACGTGGTTAGAGAATGTCCAGGAGTCATGACTTCAGTTCTCCAACCAGATAAACCAAGACGTCCCCACTCTCTTACTCGGAGCTTCCCCGTTGTAAGCCCAGTGTCCACAGCAGTGGGAAAGCAGTGTGCTGTCCGGTCCCTGCAGGGATCTGGCTTTGCGTGTGTCTTGATCCCTGTTCATTCTCTGCAAACAGGGTGTCAGCACCGGATCAAGCAAGTTCTGATTTCTTGCTTATCCACCTCTTCACACATCTTTTTTTCTCATTCCCGTTCTACTGGATCAGTTTTTGCTGTAATTTTGGCTGCCACTCTCCTATTGGCTCTGATCATTGCTGGAATCTAGAAAACTTGGTTCAAGAAAAAATTGTATAAATTGGGGGAAATCAATAGACTTTTATGGTAATAAGAATTTACTTCCTTCATAGCGCCAACACATACTATCAGAGTCTACAGAGGCGCTCCCAAACATTTCTGACAATCAGGAATAAGACACCCTCTTACATACCAAAAATCTCTGGTGAAAAAACAGGCCATCTCTAAAGCTCTAATCAGCAAACACAGCAAGAGTGCAACCTCCGGTTCTCTCCAGAGGGATTTTATGCTAAGTAGCCCCTGCCCACAAGCCTTTGTTACCCCCTAGATGAAAAGGCTCCTCCATCCTGGAAAGCACATGGCAGAGGGGAGGCAGCCACTGACCTCGGAGTGGAACCTGCATGGCAACCTGACAGCAGACCTGCTGGACTCTCCAGGCTGCCACCAAAGATGTCATGGACGCTTCTGAGGCTCAAGAATCTAATTTTCTTTACATAAAATAAAGGGAATGCACTCTGGTTCTTTCATTATTTCTTGTTTAGCATGAACTTTATTTTCCCGAGCAAGTCTTATAGGGCCTAATAGGATAAAGGACCTGTGTGGAAGAGGAGGGATGATGAAGATGGGTTAGAGCATTATCCTACCCAAAAAAAGGCCCCCAGTTAGCTCTCTGGAGTTTAGTTGGATAAATGTTGGGCTATGTAATCCCTAAGGTGCTACAATTTCAAACTCTATGGAGTCAGGGACAATGCCTGGATCATTCCTGAGTCCCCAGGCATACTTCTGGTACATAAACAGCATTAAAAACACCACCTAACCAAAAAGCACATACAGAGTACATTTGAGGAATGGATGAGGAAGAGGTTCCTCAGTCATCATGAGAGTGTCTTCTCTATTTAAGATTATAGCTTCAGGGACCAGTCGAGTTGAGTTTTAGGCGTTAACATCCTCTTCCAGCCACCTACCCTGCCACTTCCCCCAGCTCTTCTCTACACACATATAAAAGCTCAGCCTCCTCTTCTCTGGGATTGCATCTAAAACACGAAATGTAAATGTCTCCCAGATGAGAAGACAGCTTGTTTACACAGGAATAACTGCTTCAGCACAGGGTCTTCTTTTACAGGGAAATGGGAAGAAAATGCTGAGTCGGCAGATCCCTCCCTCTTTGCATTAGGAAGGAATTTGAAGCCTATTTCAGTCCTTTCTTTGGCCTTGTGTAAAAGTAAAACTTTTCTCTCCAAACTTAGAGCTGAGTAATAACAAAGAAAAATCAAAGTTTGACTCACATGTTCTCTGACCTCCCAAAATAAGACCAGGTGATTTTGAATTGTGTTCCACCCTCACCACCCCTGCCGCTTCCTTAGCAGGTCAGAGGTGAGTGAGTATGAATGTGCCAGCTTGATCCTGCAGTGCAAGGTGGAAACAAAGCCTCCTCATTGTTGTCCCTCTTCGCTCTCTCCCCCAGAGAGGGTCTGAGGCTCCGTGTGGATCCTACAACCAAAGGAAGGCTGGAAGCTTCGCCCACATCCCAGGGCCAGCCATCAGGTGGAGGATCCATCAAGGAGCCCCCCAGCTATTCAACGTCATTACTGTTTATCTTTATGTCTACCTTAAAAAACATTCTTTAATCACCTAATGCGGTTGTTATTAGCCTGTCAGAATGTGGGGGGAAAAGGAGGGGAATTCTCTTCATGTCTTGTGGTGCATTTTTTTGGTAAAATATTAGGACAAGTCTATACCTTCCTCCTTTGAAAAATAAGATACAAAACCAATTAAAGTTAAGTGATTACTGAAATGCATCTAATTAGTATTAACTCACTCTCATCAAACCATGATGGCAGCTTCCACAGCAAAAATCCTGTTTGGTGTTGATACAGAAGATAATTGACATCACAGGGGCCTCTGCTTCTCAGGCAATTGCTTAAGAAAGCACCTTCACAGCTCAGAGCCTTCTCTCCCTTTGGGTTGGGGTACACTTTTGTCAATCTGACAAGATCTGTCACATATTATCAGACAATTGATCACCGGCTCCTTGCAAGTCTTAATCCACTGTTTGATCACACATTGAGAAAAATGGCTTTTTATGTCTTACATCTCAGCCATGAGAAAGGGGGAGAAAAAGAGGAGTTGGGCTTCCGGCTCCAGCTCATTACTTTTTTGCAAATGATAGATGGGTTCACTAGGCAATTTAACTTTAAAATGATCTTTTCCCCCTTCCCAGATAAGCAAATACGAGGAGCTCTGTAGCACAAGCTCAGTGGAAAGGGAGTTTGCCGGCTGTTCCTTTTGTATCTTCATAATAGGTGCCCTGTGTGGATAGAGGCATGTAGGGTTAGTAAATATGTATTTACTTAGTATTACTGCATCTGCTTCTAAATAATAGGATTTAAAGTGGACACACACAGAGAGACTAACTTGTACTCTCCAGGACGTAGCTATAATCATTGTACACATTTCTTTTAGAGCACTTAGGTTATAAATAAAATAATTTGAAATGACATCTGGTATATAAAAAAATCCACAAGAACAAGTCCATGAGTATTACATAATGACAGAATAAACCAAATTTAAAAAAAGATTACATCTCTTACCATGAATCCAATTATGTTGTTCTCAAATTTCTAACCTTATGTATATAACAATGTGAATTCTAGCGTTTTCAGAATAGTATAAAATCTAATAATAGAAAAATAGTACTATTTTAATAGTTGAATGCTACTTACTATTAAAAAAATAAAAAGTGGAGTTGGCACTGTGGCATAATGGGCTAGGCCTCTGCCTGTGGTGCCAGCATCTCATATGGGTACCAGCTTGTGTCCTGGCTGCTCCTCTTTTGATCTAGCTCTCTGCTATGGCCTATGAAAACAGAAGATGGCCCAAGTGCTTGGGCACCTACACCCACGTGGGAGACCCAGAACAAGCTCCTGACTCATGGCTTTGGGTTGGTTCAGGTCTGGCCAGGTCGGCCATTTGGGGAGTGAACCAGCTGATGAAGATCTCTCTCTCCCTCTCCCTCTCCCTCTCCCTCTCCCTCTCCCTCTCCCTCTCCCTCTCCCTCTCCCTCCCTCTCTCTCTCTCTGTTTCTCCCTCTCTCTGTAACTCTGTCTCTCAAATAAATAAATAAAATCTTTAAAATTAAATAAATAAAAGCATTTGTAATTATCAATACAAGAATAGGTAAAAACTCAAAGTTTTTGAGGGATTCATTTAAGTTGTTCAAATACATGTAAACACAAAACTCTGATGCTCTCTAAATAGTATTCCCAAAGCAAAAGTTTTTTAGAAATTCTGATTTCAGGGGCAGGCATTTGGCACAGTGGTTAAGATGCTGCTTGGGACACCGGCATCCCACAGCACAGTGCCTGAACTTGCGTCCTCACTCCACTTATGATCCAGCCTTCTGCTGGTACACACCCTGGGAGGCATGGGAGGCAGAAAATTATGGCTCAAATACTTGAGTCATACCACCCATGTGAGAGATCAAAATGGAGTTCCAGGCTCCTGAATTGGGCCTGGCCCAGCTCCAGCTATGGCAGACATTTGGGGAGTGAACCAGTGGATGTAAAATCTCTCTCTTTGTTTCTCTCTGTGTGTATCTCTCTGTTGCTTTGCCCTTCAAATAAGCAAAACTTTTAAAAATTCTACTGTCATTCCCTAAGGCTAGGAAGAAGTCTATCCAACTCCCCTCCAGTAAAAACACTGTTGTACATCATTTGTAATTTGAAGACACAAAGAACAGAGGCTTAGTCTTTGTGTACTTAAGTAAAATGAAGTAATTAATGCTTTTCATGTGTTGTGGTAACCGGATGAGATAACAGTATTTCCAAATATTAGGTGCAAAATTCCATAGTCAAGCAGTGTGTAGCTGGCCAGCAAATGTTGTCAGTAAACTTAAAAAAAAATGTGAGGGCAAACACTGTGCCCCAGTCCCTACCACAGTGTATGTCAGGCACGAAAAGAGTGCTCCAAAAATATTTATTCTGCTGAGATGCAAACAAGATGTGTGGCTTAGCAAAAAGTATTGTACCAAGCCAATTTCCAGGTTTGGATCATGGTAAGGCATCATCTTATGCATCACTTAGTAAGACATCGTCATTGAAGAAAGGTGAGAAAAGAATCCATGGGAACTTTTTCTTTTCTTCTCTTTTTGTAACTTGTAGGTGAGTTTAAAATCATTCTAAAATTCAAATTTTTAAATTGCCCTTGAAGAGGATGACTTGCTAATCCTTTGAGCCTACTGACGTCTCAGGGCTGCTCTAGGCAATCTCTCGGGCACTCTGTTTCTTGCACTAACTGTACTCCTTCCCCTTAGAGCCCTTTATCCTACTCCCAGACGCCGGTTCTGCCTCTGGTCTTTGGGATGTGCTCCTTGTATTTGATCTGGACTGAAGTTGGGCCTTTAGGTGTCCATGAGGAACTCAGGCTCAGACTTTCCGCCTGGATTTACCTCTTCACCCTCTCTTTCTCATTGGCCTTCTCAGCACATAGTTCCTCTTTATCCCAGTCTTTGTATATGTGTGTTGGGGACAGGGGTATGCAGGGTGGAAGTGATGGGGGGTGAGACTGAGATTTAGTCCATAAGTAAATTGCATCATTTAAGTATTTTTTGAAAGAGTACTTTTATAAAAACAAACAGACAAACAAATGGGGGAGAGATTCTATCTAGTTCATCGGATCCACCAAATTAAACTCTTCCACTTCACTATATATTTATTAAAGTTATTATTAAAGTCTTTGAAGATTAAATTATTTTGTATTTATCCTCACTGCTGAATATCAACAAAAACAACAGAGTCGACTTACTCGGGCTACACCTGAGGGCCAAATAGTATAGTCTGTGTATGTGTCTTAGAAGTAACTTGGAATCATTTGGGACCCTCAGTGCCTTCGCCACCACCCTGCTATTATAAAAGGCAATAAAGCAATGGTTAACACACTGGTATGGGGCCATATTGTTTTGAATCCAGATGTGCAAACCAGCAGTGTGACTAAACAAATCCTTAATTTCTCTGTACCTTAGCTTTGCTATTTGTAAAACAGGGATAATAATTGGGCTTAACTCATAAATATCTATCAGAAATATGAGGTTTAGTACTTTGAGAAGTACCAAGGGTAGCCCACAGCTGGTGCTCAGTGAATGTAACCAACACTTTTTCTACCTCCTTTCTCATTTCTTTTCCCTAGATTTCCCTCCACTGCCTGCTAAAAGTTTAGTGTGGTGGCTTATACTTAAAATTTTGATTTTTTATAAAGTTGATTTTGAACGTTTCCCTAAATTTATGGAAGTAATAGAAAACAATCAATAATTGCATCTCAAAACTGAAGCTGAAAATTAATCACACCAATGAAGAAACACCAGGGGTGGGCTTTGTGGTACAAAGAATTAAGCTGCTGTTTGGGATGCCTGTGTTCCTGTTCAGAGTTCCCGGTTCCAGTGATGCCAGCTATTCCATGCTTCCAATCTATCTTCCTGCTAAGGCCTGGGGGAGGCTGCACTGCGTCCCTGCCACTCCCTCCTGGCTTCAGCCGGCCTCAACCCTGGCTGTCGTGGCCATTTGGGGGGGGGGGGGTGAACCCATGGATGGAAAATCTCCCTTTCTCTGTGTCTCTCTCTCTTCCTTTCTCTCTCTCTGCCTTTCAAGTAAATAAATAAATCTTTAAAAAAATAAATAAAAAGTAGAATCACCATACAGTCACTAAAGTTTCTGCATCTACGGAACCTATCACTGTTTGTGTGAAGGCTGGGATTAAATGCTGGTGAGCAACATTCTCAAAGAGACACAGCCACAGGCTGGGAACTTCATGGGCAAGTCTTTCCTTGTAACTTACAGGGCACTGAGGCGGGCGACACTGGAATGGATTTGGAGTCTAGCTGGGTGTCACCCTTTCGGGAAGGACAGGCATAGAAACAGGACTGAACGTTTCCTTTTTCTTTTTAAGTAACAAAAAGAAGCTAAACGGTGTCACTTGGCTGACTCTACCTCCTGAGTACTAAATGTGGTGTTTACAGCCATGAAACACTTGATGAAGGCACATTGATAGAGTAGAGTTATGTTTTCAAAAGTCCCTCAGTGTTTTCTCAGTCTTTTGGGGGATAAGCATTATATACTGAACTAATGGCATCCCAATTTCAGTCAAATGGTGTTCAATCTACCCTACCCTTTCCAATCAGAAATACATAGTGTGAAAACTTTTTACCTGGGTACTCTCTCATTATCTCCAGAGATGCAGATTTAAAAAATCATCCTTTGGTAGCATTTAATAAGTTTGTATGATCTGCCACCCAAAAAATGCTGAGAGTAAACAATGAGTTACAGCTAAAGCCAAAGTGAGTGAGCAACAGATTCAAATTAGGAAAGATAAAATTAAATTTTCATGTATCATAAATGAGATATCCATTAGGTCATCCCTCAGGTGACCTTCCGGTTCAGCAAATTCTGCCTTAAAACTTCCAACCTGAAAGAGATGGGTGCAGGGACTAGTGACATGCATTTCAGAGACTGTGGTGGAAAAGGCCCAGCCAGCCATAGTAAACAAATATAACTAGTTTTGGAGAAATGCTATTGACAGTAAAATTCTAATTTTACTCCAGCTCCCAGAACAGATGTACCTCTGAGTCCATAGACTGCAATACTTAACTGCAGCTACTCAGCTGTGACCTTCAGCCCCAGGCTCACTGCAATAAAATTTTCATGCAACCATATGGAAGAATATTTTAATAGAGATTTACTGTCAGTAACTGTCCCAAAGGAGCAAATAAGGAAGCTGTAACATATTGCGTACAGTAAATCAAGGGGACTTCAATGGAAAAACGAAACCTCCCGGAGGCAAGCATCTTTAAAATTACAGGCAACACTTTGTACAAATATGTGTACAAAGGACTAGATTTGCACTCAGTTAAGTAGCTCAAAATGGTTTCGATTTGCAGATATATTTATTTAGAATTTATTTATTGGATTTTATAAGTGGCAAGCACTTACCTGTCAGGACTGAATGCGTGTGTATCTCCTTTCCCTGGGGCGAAACAGAAGTGAGGGAGGATGACTTGAACTGAAAATCTTGCCCAACCACGGAATGTGGCAGGCAACATAAATTGCACCTTCTCCATAGCCAGGTTTACTTCAATTTAGGGTAAGTCTTAACACCAAAGACAAAAATACTGCCCTAGTCAGTACATAAGCAGCATTGGATGAGTCATTTGAATGGTTAAAAATTCAGCTTAAACAATAATTGGGGAGACATGTTGATTAAAATTCCCAGTGGGATAGGATATATTCACACTCCTTACATGCATCCTTGGTTATATTTTACCCAACATTTTTGCACGTAAAAATATCTCCTTAGATGGTGAAGCTATAAAGTGGCAATTGTTGTCTAAATGGGTCTTGGGCTGGTTGGACTCAGTAAATCAGATCTCATTCTCGTCTTCTCCTGACCCTGTGTTTATTTGGAGACAGGAGTCCATGCCACAGGGCCACGAGTGAGCTAAACAGCAACAATGGTGCCTGAGCTTGTCACCTACTACACGGCTCCGCACTTGATTTCACTTAGTTACTGTCCCTGCACCTCTCCTTGCTCAACTTCAGCTCTGTTTGTTAAGAACATTTCAGCTTCAGATATTTGTTTCCTCAGGGCAAACAAACAGCTATCTCTGCCCCTCTGTTCCACTGATGGAAACTCTAATGTGAGGGGCAGTAATTCAGAGATAAATAGACCGAACACAGCCCATGACAGTTCATATTTTACAGGAGAGAGAAGGTCTCAAACCTAAGAAAACTCATGTGTAGGAGACAGAGCACAAATGACTCATCCATGGAACGTAATGAAGGAAGACGTCTTGGCATCAAAGCAAAAATCAGGATACCCAAGTTACCGTGAATAAAGGAACTGGTTGATAAATCTTTATGTTTTGCTAAATGCCTGTGGGTTGTGACATTCAACAAAGAGTGACTACAATAGAAGAATGGTCGTTTCTGATAAATGTCCTTTAGGTTTCCATTCTTCTGTGGATGTGGTCCTGGTTTTGGCGAAACAGTAAAACAGGTACCATACGTGCATGTACAGGTTCAAAGCAGGTTAGGTTACACACTGAAAGGCGATTATCTTGACTCATCAGAACTTGGCTAGTAATTGTAATGCAATAGGAAAAAGGCTTGAGATGTTAGTTCATGTTACCAGATTAATAGATAAAGAATGTTACAAGGCCAGCGACTAGCTAGTGACCCACCAAGTTTCCCAGTGTTTGATTAGTGTACTTTTTTCATAGTTGGGTATCTGTATTTCATGAACCCTTTAAGTGAATTGAAAGTAGAAATGCCTCTTGAAAAATGTTTGTGCAGACACACAGTATCTGTATGACTAGTTTGTTCCTTTGAAAGAAATGCTGGTGGCATAAGTCTCCAGAATCCTTGCATTATTTGGCTGTTACTACTTTTAGGATCGTTATTTTTGTCTGTATAATGAATAAAATGGGTATGTAAAGACAGTTTTCATCTGTATTTAATTTTGTGAATTTACCAAAAGGGGTGAGTCATGTCTTACTTTATTGATCCCATCTCTAAAACGAGTGAGGTCAGAATGCTTCCTCATTAAAGGCTCAAGTTTTTCCTCCAGTTCCTGGTAGACTCGAAGAGTTTGAAAAGCTCTTCACCCAGAGTGTTCAGTGATTCAAGGCAGCCCCGCTTGTCCCTCGCTCCTCAATCCGTTCTCCACTCTGGGCAGGTTGGTTCCTGTTACGATCCTCCAGAGGTTTTAGATTCAACATCTGCAAACCCTTGGGTCCCATGATTCCAGAGTAGGATTGTTTTCTTCTTTCATACCTCCTCCAAACTTACGCGTCTTTAAAACTCAGTTCAGAATACCCCATTACCCAAACAATTCTGTATAACCGTCCTATGCTCATGACTGAGTGCAAATACCAAGTTGTTTCTTTACTCAGTAGCTAGTACACTCCAAGAACATCGTTTAATACATACCCATTGACAATTGATTGGTGATCTTTTGATCTCTTCTCTTCCTTTTCACCACCTTGCCTTATACTTCAGACTTGGACTTCCCTCTGAGAACAGTGAAGAATGAGTTCCAACACAATTTTCATTCATATTCCTCTCACCAGAAACATGCTAGAAGGTAATAATTACTTTGTGAGATTTTTCCTACTGTGGGAAAAATTTTACAGGCTACAAATAATATGAGCAAAATGTAAGCGCCCAATCAACAAAAAACATCACCCCCAATTAAAAGAAACATACAACTGAAAAGAATACAATAATTTGTTAATTAAAGAACTATTCAAGATAGATAGTAAGCTCCTCCCAGATGGGTGTTATCAAACAGAGATTAACCCTAGAATTTAAGAAAAAGGATTTCTACAAAAAATGAGAGACTCAGTTCAGAAATTCTAGGGTCTCTTCCAAATTTTGGTTTCTATTTTAATAGTTTCAATTTAACCAATTAATGATTATTTTAGTAGTACCAGTTGGAGTGCCAGAATTGGGAGATTAATTCAGAAGAAATCTGAAAATAACTGATCATTAGTTGATGGTTGGATTAAAGTTAAACTGATCTGTTTTTTAACAGGTTTGACTGTATGGATACAGCCACAGAGCACTTTGAAAATCAATCTTGTTCTTAGAACATGTGTCCACAATTTAATTAACCTGTGTACCTAGATAGAATGGCTCCTGTGCACATTTTAATAAACAAGTATTTATATGCCCATGAGTCTTGTCAGTTTTCCTGTCTGATTTGTTAACCTTTGGTCCATAAAGAGAAGCAGTGGAATCTATTGCCCTCTAGGGAATCCCAGGGAGCTGTACCCTTCGTGTTCCCTGACAAGGACAGAAATGAGGTTTTATCTTCACAGGGTCATACTTTTGGACAATCACTGATTTTTAATTAGTAGGTACCAGTACAGATATTAACAACAACCTGGCTGGCATCTGTTCTCATTGTTTGTTACCTGGACTTTACTGATTGCTAAATATCTTGAGTGATACCACTGGAGACACTCCAGAGTTTTTGAACACTAGATTATTGGGTTAAATGAAACAAAGTAAAAAAAAATTGGTTTTTATTTTGATGTAATCTTTTAATATGTATCCAGAGAAACTATGAAATTTTGTCTTTTCATTAGTTGGAGCTTCAGCATAGTGAGTGTAAGAAGAAGGTTTTGAGATGTAGGTAGAAAATGTACTCAGCTGAAAACTGTACAGATGTGCACACATTCCATGTAGAACATATATGTATATAATACTTGGTAAAACCTCGGTAATGTATAACAATTTTAGGAAAGTTTTATAGAATTCTTTTTTTTTAATATTTATTTATTTGAAAATCAGAATTATACAGAGAGAAGGAGAGGCAGAGAGAGAGAGAAAAAAAAAAGAGAGAGAGAGAGAGAGAGAGGTCTTCCATCTGTTGTTTCACTCCCTGATTGGCCACAACTGCTGGAACTGCGCCGATCTGAAGCCAGGAGCCAGGAGCTTCTTCCAGGTCTCCCACGCGGGTGCAGGGGCCCAAACACCTGGGCCATCTTCCACTGCTTTCCCAGGCCATAGCAGAGAGCTGGATCGGAAGTGAAGCATCTGGATCTTTAACCGGCACCCACATGGAATGCCAGCACTGCAAGCAGAGGCTTTACCTGCTACACTATAGCGCTAGTCCCAGCATTCTTAAAATTAAATGCATTTCCACTTTCTGCTTCTTTCAAGTGAACAGAGTAAGGTGTTTCTAGGTCATGAATGTTTTCCAAGCAAGCATGTTTGTTGCGTATAAGTAAATGAGTGTTTTGAAAGTGCTTGAGGGGCAGGCCGTGGCTCACTAGGTTAATCCTCCACCTTGCAGCGCCGGCATCCCATATGGGCGCCGGGTTCTAGTCCCGGTTGCCCCTCTTCCAGTCCAGCTCTCTGCTGTGGCCCAGGAAGGCAGTGAAGGATGGCCCAAGTGCTTGGGCCCTGCACCCATGTGGGAGACCAGATAGAAGCACCTGGCTCCTGGCTTCCAATTGGCACAGCACCGGCCGTAGCGGCCATTTGGGGGGTGAACCAACGGAAGGAAAACCATTCTCTCTCTCTCTCTCTCACTGTCTAACTCTGCCTGTCAAAAAAAAAAAAAAAGAAAGAAAGAAAGAAAGAAAGTGCTTGAGAGAACTTTATTCACTTGTGCTAAATGTTGCTTTTAGAATTATTTTGAAAAAAATAAAAAGAATTATTTTGGCTCTTCTAATTGGGAAGCTTTTTTTCCTATATGGAATAAAATGGAAACTTCTACATTACCTAAAAATATGTATAATTTTAAAGTTATCAATATCAGAAACAACACTTTGGTAATATTAGGAAATGTCTGCAGTACATATAATGTAAAGTTAGAAACCCAGAAATAAATTGTGATTAAATTGAATATGTTTATTTAAAAAAGTATGATTCATTCATGACTCACAATTCAGTGAGATTTTTACGACTGTGTTGGATGTTTTTGCCCCATCTTCTTTTAGATAGGATTATACCTAAATGCCTCAAGATGCATTGGATATCAAAGAACTGGATGGTAGGCAAGAGGTAGGGATGAGACCACATTTGAATTTCTGTTAGGCCCCTTAAAAAGCAGTAACATCTGGGCCAATGTTGTGGGTTCAGTGGGTTAAGCCACTGCCTGCAATGCTGGCATCCCTTATGAGTGCTGGTTTGCATCTGGGCTGCTCTGCCTCTGATCTAGCTCCCTGCTGATGTACCTGGGAGAGCACTGGGGAATGCTTTCTACTCACTGGGGCCCCTCCACTCACATTGGAGACCCAGATGGGTTCCGGATCCCTGGCTTCATGCTGGATGTTGTGGCCACTTAGGGAGTTAACTAGAGAACAGAGGATCTCTTCCTGTGTCTCTCCTCTCTGCAACTCTTCCTTTCAAATTAAAAAAAAAGGAAGAAGAAAAAGCAGTAACATCAAGAGTTGCACCTGCCTACTTACACTGGTCCTTGGTAATGGTGACTCTAATCTTGTCCATGAAAACACTGTGACCTGTTTGAGGTAAGATATTGGGTCACTGTATAACAATAATGGTATTGTCATTAATATTCTCCTTAAAGTTATTGTGACTTTTTAGACAATTATATGAACTAAAATCACTCGTGCACAACCTCTTTGTGTGGGGAAAGTAGTTAAAAGCATAAAATGGGGGCAAGCATTTAGCCTAACGGTTAAGACACCAGCATCCAACATCAGAGTGTTTGGGATTGATATACATCTCTTGCTGCTGACTGCGAATGTAGACCCTGGGAGACAGTGCTGATGGCTCAAGTGACTGAGTTCCTGCCACCCACGTGGGAGACCTGGGTTGCATTCCAGGCTTCCAACTTTTGCTGGTCTATTGCAGGCATTTGAGAAGGGAACCAACAGTTGAGCGTTGAGCTCTCTATTTCCTTCTCTCTCCTGTCTTTCCTTCTCTCTCTCTCTCTCTCTCTCCCCCCCTCCCTCTCCCTCTCTTTCTCTCTCCACCTATTAAATAAATGCTAACCATGCATGCACATGTTTGATCTGTAGCATGGTTTTAGTTTCTCTCCTTATCCTCTCAGAGTAGCTGGCCTGAATCTTGCTCAGTATCAGCAAATTATTCTAGAGACTGGGAGGAAGCACAGAGAGAAACTGACTAGGTCAAGATGAAGTATGAGATATCCTATCAGATTTCAGAGTAAAATTGATCTTCAATGAGACCTCCCCTACACACCCCACCTCCACTATTTTACAACTTGTATTCCCAGAACTTGAGTATCAAGATTTCATTTGCCTTGGAGCCATTCCAGAAATTAACAGCATTAAGAAGAACTATTCTATTAAGTCAGGATGGTGTCCAATAAAAGCAATGAATGATTGGAAAATGGACTGTTTTAATGCTATTCAGTAAAACCATCATGAATGCTCTTAATTATGCAATTCCATCCTTCCTGTGTAATTGGCTCATTTAATTTCTCCCTTTCATGGTATAGAACAATCTGAATTGGGGGTCAAAGTCTTCTAATATTCTTACATTTGACTAATATTTGAAGATGATAAGGCAAAATATGTAAGAGCATAGGATGATTTGGACTCCCTTAGACAACCAAAGAGCCTAAGAGCTCACAGGACCAACAATAATGGAGAAATAATTGTACCCTGCAGGGGCATCTAAACCCTGTTCTCAAGAATAGAGCACTATGTTTTTAAAAACTTTAATCCTCTGGTCTTGAATAGTTTCCACAGTCACATTTTCAAAATACAATCAAAATTTAAGAGGTGCAAAAGGGTGTAAGTAAAAAATACTCCCTCTTTTCTGGCACCCAAATCAACCAATATTATCATGTATTTCCTTGTTCTCAGAGGTATTTTATGCATATTCCAGAAAATACACACAAAACTTCACTTGTTTCTCTTATTTGTGTGAATAGCAGCATTTTCTTCTAGGATTCCATATTTGAGTGGTTCATCCAGTTACTGGGAGTGCAATGGTGAATAAAATCAAATGCTATTCAAGACATTTCTGTATTGGGGAGCAAACAAGAGACAATGAACAAGATGGCTTAATATAATGAGTGTTTGATACTGACTAGCGGAGAAGGAGGGTGCTCGTTCAGGGAGTGATCATGAAGGCTCAAGAATTTAAGGGGATGTGCTTCAGCCTATTAACATTCATCTGGTTAACATCCAGTAAAACTCAACAACTGACTTCTACGCAGACCACAAAACACTTACCAAGAGACATGGGAGTTGAAGCATACTTCACATACAGGTGGATACTTCATTTTAACTTGGTGGCCAAAAATTTCAAATGTAGGCTCACCATGGCCTGACAATGTATGAAACCAACCTGCTGTACCCGCTGTAGATAGAAGTCCAAAGATTTCCCTCCCAAATGTGATATTTTATCAAATGTTGAGACTGTGTGATTGGCAGCTGTTTTACATCTTTTCTGATGATTTAACTTAGTCATTTTACAAAATAAACAATTTGATAGAGAGGATTAGATGATTCTCTTCATATGGTCTGTATGCCAAGAAAATTAGAATGGCAAGGAAAGGACGGATTATGTTAAACTAATGATTCTAAGGGACATTATCATGACAGTAAGATCGGTAGAAAGTCAGTCAATCAAACAGTATCTGAATTAAAAAGTAAAAAATCTTGTGCACTTTTGGACATTTTCTTTTTTTAAAAAAATTATTTTATTTATTTGAAAGACAGAGTTACAGAGAGAGGTAGAGACAGAGAGAGAGGTCTTCCATCTGCTGGTTCACTCCACAGATGGTCACAATGGCTGGAGCTGTGCCCATTCGAAGGCAGGAACCACGAGCTTCTTCCTGGTCTCCCATGTGGGTGCAGGGACCCAAGCACTTGGGCCATCTTCTACTGCTTTCCCAGGCCAGAGCAGAGGGCCAGATTGGAAGTGGAACAGCTGGGAACAGAACCGGCGCCCATATGGGATGCTGGCAATTCAGGCCAGGGCTTTAACTCGCTGCGCCACAGCGCCAGCCCCCTAGACATTTTCAAAACTCCTAACTTTCGTCAAATATCTTGGATACCAACTGTAACTGGCTATTGTATTATCTTTCCCAATTTTCTTCTAGAAGTGTGGTAAGATGTAGTTACTTGTTATATTTTCCAACAGAAATATTAAAACGTTAATTTCTACTTTTTTTTTTGAAAGAATACTAGTGTCTTTTGATTAGATATGCTGGTCACTTCTAAGAATGACCAAGGAAATACCAGTTGAACTTCGTATTTATGCCAGATGCTGAGAGTCTCCTGAAAGTAATTTATTATTTGATAGCACAAGAAATCACTTTATATTTTTATAACAGTTATGTCCTCACTGTGGTCTTCAAACATCATAGGTTCCAAAATAGAGGCAAAATAAGAATATTATTGGGCTAATTTTGAAGTGGTTCCACCTTCTTCTCTCCCACCATATGACATGCTCAGCAAGTTGCCTTTTTATGGTTCCTCACAGCAACGTTATATTCAATGTTTTTCAAAATAGAGGAATGGAGGAAAGAGGCTCATCCCTCCCCCAACCCTGAAAACCAATTATTCCTGTTTCTAGTTGTTTAGACTTCAGAGACACATTTCCCACTTTTGGTTCACTTCCTCTGGAATAATGCTGATGTTACTTGCACTGATTCCAAATGTCATTGCTGTCAGACCTTTCTCACTCGACCACCTCAGCCAGGAGCCCTTCCAGGTAAAAAGCAAGAGGACTTTTATTTCATATCACCATTGCATCTATTATTAGATCCCACCCTCAGAGACCACAATGGAGGGCGTCTGCCCCATGACATAGAATAACAGAAACACAGATGCAGTGGATATTCAGGCAGAGGTTGCCCAGAGTTGGAGAAATGAAACTGCCCTGGGTTCCCCGACACATAAGAGTCTTCCTTACACAGTATCAGATGTTCTTCTAGGAGCTGGGCCAAGAAAGTGAGCTCTTAGAGAACTCAGAGTCCCTAAAGATGTTATTCAATGTCTGCAGATTCCATCCAGTGTCAGAGGAATTCTAATTCTTTGTCAAAGAGGCAAAGAACACAGGAAACTTTGAGGATTACTCACTTCCCTCTTCTGATGACAACTACTTTTCATGTGAATGGAATCCCCTCTCTTGCAGTCTTCTTCCTCTGTCAGGGCCTGGGATTGTGGGTGGAAGGTCACCCAGGGAGTACTGGAGTTGACTTAGTATTTATGTGGCTGCTCAGGGTGATGTGGATTATTGGCCTCTGAGGACAAATTCGGCTTCCCCAGGGCAACAATAGGTTCTTCTCCTCACCCCCACTCCATTGAGCTGGCCCACAACCAAATCCTAAATTAAACATTTGTTTGCAAAGCATGCACAGCTGTAATAGGCCTGCTGCTAGTTTGCTGTATAACGTGCCACCTGCTAGCTCCCTTTCCAAAGAAAAAGGGGGGAGGAGGAGCTGAGAACAGAGTTCAGGGAACAACTCACCATCTCTCCCTGTGTTTTTTTTTTTTCTCCCTTCTTCCAAACGCTCTGGTTGATCCTCAATAAGCATTGAAAAATTGCATATGGCTTGAAGAGCATATTGCTTTTTGTCCTGCAAAAGGCAGAAAGCAAAGGATTAGTTTTCTATCCAACGTTAAATTTCCTTGACTGGGGGAGGGAGTCATGTACATGGGAATGGGTCAAATCATGCCTGTTATGGCAGGTATCTAAATGAGGGAGGGACAGACCTACCCTCATTCAAGATCACAGATACTAGGTAAGAAATTAGCCATCTCATCATTTGCTGTCTAGAGGTGGAAAGAAGGAAGGTGAACACACAAATCTAGAGAATTTTGGAAAATTTTGTTACAGCTTTTCCCGGTACTTTTCACTCTCCTGAGGTCATTTCCTGCTATCTTATAATTCATTGTTTTTCAAGAGACATTTCATAATAGAAAGTCTTTTTTTTAATAGCCTGATGGAACTGTATGTGATGAAAGCAATAAAAATTCTCATTTGAGAGTGATTCTTTTGCTGCTTCTAGGACAGCTTGGGGCATAAAAACAACACGGTGTGCAGCAGCTCATTGATTGTCAAGGCCAAGTGAAGTTTGAGGATCCAAGACTTCAGAGGCATCACACTGGGTTCTAAGCCCAGAAGACTTGATCCAGAGGTGTTCTTTCTGTATCTCTGTCTCTACTTGCAGAGAGACAGCCATCATAATGCTCACATTTTCTAAGAACTTGCAGCATCCATTCTACTTTCCTCTTCTGTCTTCAGGTTCTGCCTCTACACTGTTCTTCACAGCTGCAAAGTTGTCCATGTATGCATTGTGTGGATGACTGGTTTTGGTGGGGAAAACTGGAAAAAGTCAAGAGGAAGACAGAGATTAACATCTGGGCAGAAATATGGGTTTTTCTAAAGCAACCTTAATTTTTTTTGACATAAAAGAAAAACAAAGACTATTCCAAGAATCCTCAAATATCAGGTTTTGAAGTGACTCCTCCCAGGCGGAGAGTAGGCATCATTTCCATATGGAAAACTGAATGAATTAGTAGGAATCTGGCAATCTTGTGCAGTTCCCTGGTCTGTCTTTCTGCAAAGCCAGTCCTTTATGCTTTAGAGAATCTCTTCATAAATTCACGGCCATTGTTAGCCAACTGATTAAGAGAAGAGGAGAAATCTCTGGCTTCCTGGAGTCAGCTGGATGTTCTGTAGCAGGCTAATCAAGCAAGGTTTTCTTCCAGAATGCCTACCGTGTAAGTAGGACTTTTTCTCTTCGATCCAGGTGTCCTGCTCAGGACCCTCCCTTTATAGAACTCTGATTCTTAATTCCTTTGTTGGGTCTCATGGGTCCTTTGTGGACTCTAACTTACCTTCACAGGCTTGTTAATGACCAGAAATGCCAGATACTCCCCATTTGCAAGGAATGACTTGTCGTTTCCCAAAATACATCCTGGGTTCTCTTGCTCCACAGTTTTGCCCGTTACTTCCCTTCTGCTGAGAATGCTGTTCTCCAACCACTCTAGTCAAATTCTGATCCACTGTCCACTGGAAATGCCATGATCATCTTGTAAAACAGTCTACCATCCTTCCAGAATAACATAACCTCTTGTGTACTGGTGTTACCAGGGCTTTTATGCATTTATGCTATCCCAGCTTGCTAGGCCGCAGCTAAGATGTGCATGGTTATCTCTTCTTGTGAGGCAGGTGGCTTCCTAATAGTGGCTTCCACATAGCTATACTCACCCATGTATCTTCGACTCTTCCTGGCACAGGCCCTTGGATTCTGCACAGCCTCCATAAATGGGATATGGTAATATTGCTAATGATCACACAGGAATATAAAAAGGACATAATACAGAAACTTACTAAAAGGAAAAAGAGAAAGAGGAAAAATAGCAAGATTCTTTTAAGACTCTAGAGCTGTGGCAAGTAACCCTGTCAAAAGAAGGAAAAAGCTGGAGAAAATGATGAGATGAGCTTTTGAAAAAGTCATCCGTGTTTCTAGCTTTCTAATGGACTTAGAAGTGGTTTTTTGACAAGGAGTCATGGGCTGGACTATCTAGGTGAGACTTACCCCGTTTTCTGTGATAACTGGATTGCCCTGTAGACAGCAGAAGGTGTCAGCTGGTAGTGGTCAGCAGCCCATAATAGTAAGAATCCAAGGGACAAGCTTCAGCAGGTTTCTCATTGAAGAGCTCCAGTGCACAAGTTGAAGCATGCAGAAGTGCAAGTATATTTATGTAGATTATTTTACTGACTGAGGTAAGCCAGGAATCTTCTGGAATTAGTCATACCCTATACCTGTTTATAGAACCACAAAAGGCACAGGGGTAGAAACTGTCGAAAAGACATATATTGCCTAACCATTGCCACCCCCTCCACTCCACTACCACCCTTTTCCCCATCACTGCCCCATGAAAAACTGCTGGCTATCCTTTCCAAGTAGTGTTTCCTTTTCTTCATGTTTCTCATTGTAAGTCTGTGATAAGAAGACTATGTTTCAGACATTTCCAGAAGTGTCAGGATAGAAAAGATAGCACCAATCAGTGGCTGATAAGATTAACCACCTGGGGAAATTAATGAAACTGTGCTTGAATGGAGGTGTTACATGTGCGGGGGGGCGGGGGGAACCGATGAATTCAGCTCCATTCTTTGACAATCAGTTCTATATTTTTATATCTTTCTGAGAGCTGTTGGGTGTGAGGTGAATGAGTTCCACTGCCAAGGCTAAGTGGCTTCCAAACTCTGACAGAGACGCCGCTGGTGGTGTGCCACTCAGTAGCCGTGAGGTCTCTATCTTGAGCTGGGTGAGTAAGATCTGCTGCTGTCCATCTGTTTACCTCACAGAGAGTTATTCCTTCACCTAGCAGAGGCCTAACCCGGTATCCGACATAGAGTTGTGCTCAGTAAATATTGACTAAGTATATGACTAAGAGACATTCATTTAATTAAGAAAACAGAAAGATGACATTTAGGGGTGGGCAGTTAGTGCAGTGGTTGGTTAAGATGTCGCTTGGGACACCTGAATCCCGTATCAGAGTGCCTGGATTCCAGTACTAACTCTCCTAATGCACCTTTGGAGGCAGCAGATAATGGCTCAAGTGCCTGAGTCTCTGCCACTCTAGTAGGAGATCCAGATGGAGGTCCTGACTCCTGGCTTTAGCCTGGCCCAGGCCAAATGTTACAGGCATTTGGGGAATGAGCCAGTGGATGGAAGACCTCTCTTTGTCTCCCTCTCGCTTGTTCTGCCTTTCAAATAAAATGAAATATTTTTAAAAGGATATGGGAAAATGGAATTAAAATATGTCCATTTTCTTAAAAAAGAAACATGACACAATACTTGGCAATAGTTACAAGCTATATAGCTGCAAGAGAGAAATCTAACACTACGTGTAAAACTAAACACTACGGGTAAAGAGAAACCAGAGGAAGTAGAGGAAAGACTTGTTTCAATGTGCATTTATGGATATAATGAGGAATAAAATGGAAAATGCACAAGAAAGTAAAACTCAATATTTCAGGGAAATTTCACCTGCCTGTAGACCTAGAACTGTCTGTATTCAGAGTGCTTCTAAGGACAGTGTTCTGGAAATTCATGAGAGATGTCTCCTAAGGAAAAATCTCCCTTTCCACAGATGACCTGAAATCTTCGGAACTTTCTGAAGTTTTCATCTCTAGTCCCTCTCACTTCAGCCCAGTAATTGCACATTGAAAGAAGGACACATTTCAAATCGCAACCTTACCAATCCAAATCATTCTGGTAGAATTGTGCTTTCTCATGCATGATCAAAGCAAATACGCTGGGGCTGGTGCCATAGTGCAGGTTAATCCTCCACCCTGCGGCACTGGCATCCCGTATGGGTGCCGGTTCTAGTCCCAGTTGCTCCTCTTCCAGTCCAGCTCTCTGTTATGGGCCCCTGCACCCACATGGGAGACTGGGAAGAAGTACCTGGCTCCTGGCTTTGTATCAGTGCAGCTCCAGCCATTGCAGCCATTTGGGGAGTGAACCAACAGAAGGAAGACCTTTCTCTCTGTCTTTCCCTCTCACTGTCTGTAATTCTATATCTCAAATAAATAAATAAAATCTTAAAAAAAAGTAAATACCCCAAGTTGCCCTTTCCTATGTGACTGAAGACACCAACTCTTCCCAGGGTTTTTGAAGCCTGATGGTGGTAGCAAGGGCAGGGGGCAGAGGGGGAATGCTCCTGTGAGGGGAGCTCGGAGTGATGGGAGCATCGCATCAGTGGGGACATCAGGATGCAAGGTGTGTGACTTTGCATCTGGCTCCTTTTATCATCCACCGTCACAGGCCCATGGGGAGGATGCTTTGTCTTACCAAAGCATACTCACTGCTTTTAGCTAGGTGATGCATTTCATAAAGAAGTACCAGTGGTTCGTTCTCTCTCTCTCTTCCCTCCTTCCCTTCTTCCTTTCCCTTTACCTCTCTCTCCTTGTCTCTGTAACGCTGCTATCAACTAACTAACTAAATAAATCTGAAAGCAAGAATAGACTATGGAAAGGAAAGACCAATTTCTTTCTGTCTAGCAAATATTTCCTGGATTTGATCTTTGCAATCTTTAAAGAGCCATCAGGAGCCTCCAAGCTCTTCTCTCTTACATCCCATTTGACAACATAGTTAATTTAACACATAGTTTTCAGTTTCTAAAGTGTATGCTGCACCAGGCACAATAGATGCAAAGATAACTAAAACAACCTCTGCCTACTGGCAACTTCTAACTTAATAAGGAATATAGCTATATTGTCAGACAGTTGGAATGGTTTCTTCAGTTTGTGGCTGTAAGCATCCGCCTAAGGGATATGTTAACAGAGCTCTCACACATCTTACTTATTTTTATGAGAGCGAGCGTACTTGTGCTCCTGTCTACTGGTTCACTCCCCAGATCTTCGCAATCGCTTGAGCTGAGACAAGGTGAATCAAGGAACTGGGAACTTGATCCTGGTTTCCATGGCAGGAACCCAATCACTTAATCCATCATCTGATGCTCCCCAGGGTCTGCATTCACAAGAAACTGGATTCGGGAACTGATCCAAGAACTAAACCCAGTTACTCTGATGCAGGATATAGGTGTCATAACCTGCATCCTAACCACCAGGCAAAATGCCCATCCCTCTCATATAATTTTTCTTTTCTCCCCAGTTGTTTTCAAATTCCTTGAAGGTGGTGTCTGGGTTTGTGCTCCCCTATGTCTCTCCTAGATGATGTCCTCAATAGCTGATAATTGAAATGTGTCTAGTTACATAGTTTACAATGAATTCACTTAATTATTGTTTTTTAAATATATGTTTTATAGTTTAAACCTGAAATCACTAGAAGAAAGGAAAGGGGATCGCGAATTCAGACTGAATGGCAAATTTATTACCTGGCATGAACATTGCCTCTTCTCTGAAAGACCAAAAATACTTAATTGCTTCAGTAAAAAGACCTCCATGTTGTCCTAATTTGGAAATACAACTGACTATTCATTACAACAATGTTGTCGAGTGGCCAAAAATGTGTGTGGCATTTATTGTGATCTTACACATTACCATCTATGGTAAATCAGAAAAGGGGCACAAGTGCTGCCATCAATGTTTAATGATGTATGAAATAGCTGCCACTAAAATGTACCATTAAGAAAAGCTGAAACCGGTGCCCAACAAAGACCTGATGAAATATCGAGATCTTTGTGGTCAAGGCAATGTCTCCCAGTTTGGAAACGGATGAGCATCAAGCACCCTTACAGCATAAAGAAACTAAGATAAATTCATGGAGGTGGAGAAATGGCGGGAATGCCGCTTTTGGAAAAGGAAGTGATTGGTGGAACAATTAAGGCTTGCATCTGTGTGAGTTCATGAAGCCTCTTGCTACCTAGTACAGTCATGGCTTGTTTTTAAATCTTCAGTTTCGTTAATCCATTGAAACAAAAGCTAAAATTTAGATAACAATCAAAAATCCTCATCATCCAAAGTCATCTTTATTAGTTGGAACTGCAATAAGCAGATCTTGGATCCTTGAAAGAAACGCCAACAGCAAAACTCCTATTACTATTATTTCTCTGCTTTTATAAACATAAGCTGGGAACCACAATGATATCTTTGGTTTAAAATGCTTAGTGCTATGGCATCAAACTTCTCAGGATCATTCTAATGAGTTCCTTATAGTAAACTATTTAGAAACTACAAAGGATTTTATATCCTCCCAGGAAGATTATATTGTTCTTAAAAAGAAAAAACGATGTGAAAGGATTATAAAAGTCTGTTTATGCTTGCTTAGTAAAAGGAGAGTTTTAAGGTCTATTTCTTCATAGTTTTCACCAAATTGATCACACATCTTGTCTTGGTGTATTATGGTCCTGTGGACTGCCACTTCTGTTACATGATATGGTTGGAGTAAAAGTCTAAGATAAAGTGTCTAGGTAATATAAGAATATCTCTTAATCTTGTTCTGTTGCTTTGTGTGGATGCTGTTAATCAGCAAGGGACACAGTCCCTTTCCCTGAGCTTTTAAAGTTTGGTGAGATGGGGAGATGGGGCACAACCACACAAGTTCAGAGAGGCAGATCCAGAAAGGAAATACCTCGTTCTCTTTTCCTTTTCCAAATGACTTACACATATCAAAAGTACCCTAGTGTGGAAGAAAGGAGGACTATATGTTGAGTCATTCAGGAAAGGTAGTGGATGTGAAATTGATAGTAGCTCTGAAGGAGCCAGCTTTTGCAACCAGAGAAGGAAGCAGAAGGACGTGAGAATGGAGAGAATTCTGAGCCAAGGGGCAGGGGGCTGTGTCTGACATGGGCTCAGTTTCAGATGGAAAGGGGAACAGTACAGCAATCTAACGTTCTGGAGCGGGTGATGGTGGAGCATGGGGTGGGATTGTTTACAACACAAGCATAAATTAGGATAGATAGAGATCACCTTTCTTGTCAGGCTAAGGATTTAGCATTTTATCCAAAGTCCAAGGTATTATCTTTTGCTAAGGTATTTCAAGATTCCATTGGTCAATAGCAAAAGAATGTTTAAAACTGTTTATCCCAGAGGTTAAAATGTTGGCTGCTATTTCAAATATTTCTCCACCAGACAAATGGAACATTTGAATCTGTAAAGGAGGTACTTTCAAAAAGTTTATGGAAAATGGAATTAAAAGATAAGTCTATTTTGCTGTAAAAATTCTTTGAAATTCAAGCATATGAGGGGCCTTCTCAAAAGTTCCTGGAAAATGTGTGTTATGAAGAAACTATGCATGGATTTCAAACTTTTTACACCAAAATAAACTGATCTTTTAATTCCACTTCCCCATGAACTTTTTGAAGTACCTTTGTTCTTTTTTGTCACTGTTTATATCAAGTGCACTCTAATTTATTTATTATTTCATTTGGTTGATTTTTAAGTAGGGCTGGTGTATATTAACTCTAGTCAAATTGGTTGGTGAGATGGAAAAGATGTCTGAATGTTTTTGTGACAAAAAATATATTTGGAGACTTGGGTAGATATCCCAAGTGGAAAGCACACAGGGTATTACTGGTTTTTATTTTCTATTTAGGTTCTCTATCACAATTAAGTACCCATTAAAGAGTGAACCACTAAAAGGAAAGCTCTGATTGTAAATTATTTTATGGGAGAGTCAGTTTTCATGTTCTGGCCCAGGTGAAAGTACCAGAAAATACAGTGTCCTTTGCTTGTGACTAACAAATGCTATAAACCCCCTCTTCTCTTTATTCTACTCTTCAGTTTTCCCTGTGAGGAAGTTCACTTTAAAGAAATATTTATTTTACTAGGAGTATCTGAATTGAGCCAAATTGTTAAGGCAAAGTATGTTAGAAAGTAATTGATGGACATCAAAGGATATATATTATCAGGTTATCAAAGGGCTTGAATGATTTCATGGTTAGCACTAACTGGAAGTTTTTCATTTTTGCCCCATACAAAGGGAATCCAGGTGTTCACAGCTGCATGTAGGTAAGTGCTCAAGGGCTATAAATCTGGCAGGTATTAGACAGAGTTAGCCTTGCAGGTTTTGCTGGTGGTTGCCACCCAGCTCAGCGTCTTTTTTTTTTTTTTTTAAGATGTATTTATTTATTTGAAAGTCAGAGTTACACAGAGAGGGAGAGGCACAGAGAGAGAGGTCTTCCATCTGCTGGTTCACTCCCTGGCTGGCCGCAACAACCGGAGCTGCATGGCTCCAAAGCCAGGAGCTTCCTCCCAGGTCTTCCCACATGGGTGCAGGGGCCCAAGAACTTGGGCCATCTTCCACTGCTTTCCCAGGCCACAGCAGAGAGCTGGATCAGAAGAGGAGCAGCCATGATTCAAACCTGCACCCATATGGGATGCCGGCACCACAGGCAGCGGCCCCAGGTCAGCATCTTTTATCTACACAGATCTAAAGTATCTGATATTTGTTCCCTGTGCAATAGTTAATTCAGAATTAAGGCTATTTCTGTGTTTTCTTCAGAATTCAATTAAAGTTAAAAACAGAGGCAAGTTTGTACGCTTTAAAGTTCAGATCTATGAACCCGACATCCATGTTCTTCCTATTCTACATTCCTTGCTTGATTCATTTCTCTCACCCCTCTCCTCCAGTTTTCTCCCTCTCTTTTATTTTTAAATTTTTCATCATTAATTACATTTATTTGAAAGACAGAGAGACAGCATGCTCCTATCCACAGCTTACTCTTCAAATGCCCCCAACAGCCGAGATTGAGCCAGTCTGAAGCCAAGAGCCAGGAACTCTATCCAGGTCTCCCATAAGGATAGCAGGAATGCGCAGCTTGAGTTAACGTTAATTAACTTGAGTTAATGTGCTCCTGCCTCCCAGGGTGCACAGTAGCAGAAATTTGGAACTGGAAATGGAGTAGGGACTGGAAATCAGGATTCCAGTCATCTTATCTGGTGTTCCTAAGCCCACCCCTCACCGCTTTTCATTCTACTGGTTTTCCACTCTTCCTTATCCTAACCTCTTGATGTAGCCACCTGAGAGAAGAGAGAAAATAAGCCTAAACTTTTCTTCTTAAATTTTGGGAGTCAGTTGTTAGCAGTCTGGTATAGAATCACCAAAAGGGAAGACTGCAACTTTTTCTCCACCCATAGAATTCCTCGTATCTGACAATTTTCACATTGCTAAAGTTGCCATTTAATGCTTTCTTGCCTCCTGACTCTATCTAAATCTGTGGAGCTCATAAGCCAACATATTACTTTGAACAAAAGAGCTTTATTATCTTCCATAAAATCCTTAACTCCCTAAATTCCTAAACTATATCTGGATTCAGCCAACATGTCCATAAACTCCTGAAGTTTTACTGAGCTGTAGTTCAGTGTTTTCACATCTTCTGCCAATCTTTAGCAATCTTTAGCCAATTTTTTGTAGCCTCCAGGTCAGCATACATATTCCAATATTTTCTGCTTTACCAACTGGCATAAACTCAAGGAGGGTGAGGTAGCATTCAATAGCTACCTCTACTAGTTACGTTTCTTTTCACTTAGTGGTGCCAAATGTTTTAAAAATCAGACTTTAAAATGCTGATAAGGGGAACCTATGGTCCTTAGATGATCTCCAAACACGAAATCCTTACACTTGGAGCTCTCTGCCTGTTACTCCCATGTCATTTCTTGTGGATGTTGCAGAGAGCACACAGCAGGGAAATTGAGAGAGTGCTTGCCAAGGTTCGCCCATGCCTGAGACCTCAGCTGCCGACCAAGTGTTCAGGTACCCCGGGGATATGGGTACATGCCTTTGGGGATCATTTGGTATTTCCTATCCATATTTGGTATAGTCTGCTCTCCAGAAATCCCTTTAATATGTGTAATTAAATGTATATGAGTGTTTTCTTCCTCTTCAGTTGAATTCTTTTTATTTAAGATTTATTTATTTATTTATTTGAAAGGCAGAGTTACAGAGAGAGAAGCAGAGAGAGAGAGAGAGGCAGAGAGAGAGCGAGCTTCCATCTGCTGTTTCACTCCCCAGATAGCCATAACATCAAGGGCTGGGCCAGGTTGAAACCAGGAGTCAGGGGCTTTATCCAGGCCTCCCACGTGTGTGCTTTGGCCATCCCCTGCTGCTTTCCCAGGTGCATCAGTAGAATTTCACTCCTGAAGTTTTGTTACACAGATGAGTAAATTATAAAAGAAACCCATGTCCATGTAATCTCTTTAATGGACAATATACCTTTTCACTCTTAAATCTTAATCTCTGAACTACATGCTCTTCTCCTTTTCTTTAATTTTTTTCTCTACTTCCTCAGCCTCCCACAAGCATAGAAAGAACTTAGCATCAGAGATGGGGACAGGAAGGTTGGTCAGTAAGCTTGATTCCCCTCTGTGTTCTCACCCAAGAATGGGGGAACAAGGCCATGCCCAGGCCTTTAAGAAAATGAGAAGCACTTTGGGAAAGAGCCCCCTACCCAGAACTAAAAGACAACATTAAAGTTCATGGGCACAGACGCCAGCTTTCTCTTCTAATCCACAAACACAGACCATCAGGGCGAGGACTGAAGTCCTGACACCCTGAGAGGAGTTGTGCAGAACCTGGCACCACACACCATGGCCCCTCTCCCTACCTCTCTGAATCCTTCAAGGAGGATCACCTCATTCCATTTTCTGAAGAATGGTCAGAAAGGTGCTCCAGTTTCCACCAATTCATACATAAAGAAACCTGGTTTTAACAAACAGGTAATCTGTTCAGGACTCCCCTAGTAACCAGAGTAGAGATGATGGAATTAGGGAACCCAACTGTGAGACATTGACGTCCTAGGATACAGCACAATCCTGGCACACTGGTCGTCTTAGGACGGACACTGGTTCTGCTTGACACCAACCTCTTTGCTTAACCTTCATGTGGTACTGGCCCAACTGTTAGCTCAAAGTTGTGATAGTATTTGACTTGTCAGCATAAGGACAGGCACATCATAGTTCCAGAAAGGCTCTTGCTGTGGTGGGTCTGTGAGTCCTTGCTCCTCTGTTTTGCAACTCTTTCCCTTCCTGCTGTGCTCATAATCTGTTATTCCATGAGTAGCCAGCAGCTGAAGGCAGGTTGATTCTCTTTCTTGGGCTGCTGTGAGTGTTGGATGCCTTAGGGCCTTGTGGGGTGTTCTGCATGAGGAGAAGAAGCCAGGTTGCATTAGGAGTCAGGTCTCTATCTTATTTCTGGTAATTAGCTTAGGAAGAAAAGGATTCAAATCTCTAAACCTACCATCACATCTTATGATTTCTTTTTCATGCTAAATATATATCCTATTCCTTAACTGAATTTATATCCATAATTTCACATGCTTTTCATAAAAAGGGACTGCAAAGTGGTATAAGCTTCATGCTCAACAAGCCCACATCTGCCTCTGTGAGTCCCTTTCTTGCTACCCACGTTTCTTTCTCCCTGCCCTGGATGGGGCTTCCATTTATCGCTCTCTCTATATATATATATACATATACTCTCAGTAATAAGTTTTGAGCAATCCCTTAACACTTGTGTATTTGTTTATAAGTATAAGCATAAAGAAGTTACATGCAGAACATAATAAATGAAAATTCAAAATACAGTACTAATAACCAATGGTAGAAGTTTTAATGGTCTTTTTTTTCTTCAATAGACAATCATAGGAACAGTCATTGGTCCGCACTACTAGTAAGGCAGATTTGGTCTAAGTGGTTTCTTGATCTGCCATTTCTCTCTTTTTTTTTTTTTTTAATTTATTTGAAAGGCCGAGTTACAAAGAGGGGGCTGTGAGAGAGAGAGAGAGAGAGAAATCCTCCATCTGCTAGTTCACTCCCCAAATACCTGAAACAGTCAGGGTTGGGCCTGGCCAAAGCCAGGAGCCAGAAACTGCATTCGGATCTCCCAGATGGGTGTCAGGGACCCACATACTTGAGTCATCACCTGCTAGCTCCCAAGGTACACATTAGCAGGAAGCTGAATCAGAAACAAAACTGAGACTCAAACTCAGGCACTTCAATAAGGAATGGAGCATCCCAAGTGACAGTTTAACTCATTGTACCACAATGCCTGTTTACCCTCATCTCTTTTTTTTTTTTCCAAAGATTTATTTATTTGAAAGAGTTACACAGAGAGAGGAGAGGCAGAGAGAGAGAGAGAGAGAGAGAGAGCGCGCTTCCCATCTGATTGTTCACTCCCCAAGAGCCAGGAGCTTCTTCTGGGTCTCCCAAGCGGGTGCAGGGGCCCAAGGAGTTGGGCCATCTTCTACTGCTTTCCCAGGCCATAGCAGAGAGCTGGATCAGAAGTGGAACAGCTGGGACACGAACTGGCACCCATATGGGATGCCAGCGCTTCAGGCCAAGGCTTTAACCTGCTGCGCCACACACAGCTCTGGTCCCACCCTCATCTTTTTAAAAAGTTTATTTTAGACCAGGCTTTTCTAGAACTAGATATACAGTGATACTGCAGGGATTATTCAGAAATCTATTGAATGTTATACCTTCTTAAAATTGTAGCTCTTCTTCCCAGCCCCCAATTAAAATTTCCTTGCAGCAACCTCATTGATCTAATTGATGAAATTTGTAATAAATTAATATTACTAAGTTAGAATTTCAGAATATATTTTTGAAAGTAGACTATTATTAAAATATTTAAAATTTGCTTCTATATTTATTACACTTATTACCTATTAGAAACCACTACAAAAATAGCTGATGGGCTCAGCTATTCTAAGGGGCTAAGAGCCAATAATTACCTAACACATTATCCCTCCAGAGGCATATGAATCTTAGCCAACATTTCTTGAGAACTTTCAGGAATACTGTAGAAATCGCTAGGGTGGTAGGATCAAACAAGGTATACTGGTAGGATCAAATAAGGGTATGGAAGGAGAGAGCTTTTGAAGACAGTACCAAGACTCCATTTCCATGTGCTTCTGGAGCATGCTACTCTTTAAGGGTCCTCTCTTTCAGATACAGTGGGATGAATTCAAACTTTCACTTAAGACAAGCAGGAGATGCGACTGTTAAAGTAGAAAGATGGCTACTATATAACATTACGAACTCAGGTCTCATCCCAGTTCTGCCACTTACAATGTGTGCTTTGGCAAGTCACTGTCAGGACCTCAGTCCCTACAGTAGGCATCTCAGATCTCTTTGAAACACAGTGGGGCAATGTAGCCTTGAGCTCCATTTCAGCTCTGTGGGCTGTTCTTTTGGTGGTACAGTGTTTCTACAGGATGCTAGAGAGGTCTGTGGACAGGGTTAGTGCCTGAGTTATAACTCACTTTGTCTACGCCCATGTGGGGTTTAGGCCAAATGATTCCACATTCAATTTGTGTTTAATCTCACAAACAATTTCCTTGTTATTTAATGACTCTGATGCACATGTGTCTCTACATGGGAATTTTTAAAGCCTTTCACATGGGCAAGTTCTAGTCTGCCTGCCTAGCCCTGAATTAAATTAATAATTAGCCATACATAATGATCTAGGTATTAATCCCTGAATCATAAGATTGAAAAACTCCTTGAGAGGATTTCTATTGTCTCTGTGTACTCTTGTTTTCCCCTGCTCATATTAAGATGCTCATTATTGAGTGTGTGCTCTCTAGCTTCACCTGTAAACACCCTCCCCATCTTCCACAGCAACTTAAGTGAGGTGTTCGCCACACAATCTCCTTGCATTTACCTGATCACACCCAACTTTGCTGTGCATTGCACCTCTCACAGGCTGCCCAGCTCCTCCCTTGTGGTCTCATGATTCTTGGACATCACTGTCCCTACGTTGATACCAAATGCCTTTACTCTTAAGAATGCTTTCCTTTTCTGCCTTTCACTTCTTTCTACTTCTCCCATGTAAAAGGGCATCTAGGATCTTTCTAGTCTTAGAATCACTGCACCTTCTTAGAATCATTTTTAGTGACACAGTTAATGTATTATTCTTGAGATGCATCAAGTTCTCCTTATAAATTGATAATGCATGCCACTAAAGGCTTCTTCAGTGTTCTGCCTCTAAGAAAACGACCTATTGTGCCAAAACATTCTTGCCTGACCTCTGAATCACTGAACACCAAACCACAACCCATTCTTTCTCCTAAACCAGGGTATCCAAGTACCTTTCCTGCATAAAGGTATGTTGACATGATGTGAGGTTGGAGTTTAACTTCCACTAGTAAATATTCTGAAGATGAATAATAAAATGGATTATTGAGATAATTGCAGCTGCATGGGACTGTGTAGAAAGGCCCCAAAGGAAAGTCAGAAGGCTGCCAGCTACCTATGATGGTAATTAACTTACAAAGTGCTGGTGATGGGAGGGCCTGCCCATGGCTCTTCCTCTCCTGTGCTTAGAGAAAGGGAAGCTAGAGGAATGGGTCAGGAGTCTGGGACAGGTATAATTCTCCTTCCCTAGAACAGCCACAGAAGATGAAGCCACTGCATAGTTGAGATCCCTGCTTCTTTGAATCTACCCAGCACATGCACTGGGAAGTCAGCAGTGGGAGCTTGAGCCTGGTTATTAATTTTAGTAGAAGCAGGTATTTATCGTTTTAAATGAAATCTATGGAAAAGCAACAGAGGGATAATCATTTGTTTCTAATCATCGTCCTTAATTTGTTTTAACCACTAGAACAGGCCCAAGTAAAACTGAGGCAGAGATTTCAGGACCCAGTGGGAAGCCACCTTGGTGTCAGCTACTATTTATTGAGTACCTACTATGTACCAGTACTCCAATATTTAATCAGTCCTCAGCAAAGTGCAGGTTCCAATACTTGCCCTCAAAGAGTTGTTCTGAGTGCTTCAATGATGTGACATATCACACAATATTGGACACTTGATCTGCCCTCAAAATTGGCAGTAATTACTTTGTTCTTATTTCATCATCACAAAAAAGCCAGTGAGGTAACAGGCATCCAACCTACAATGTCATTTGGCTCCTCTGCCTAATACCTTCAAGGTCTCATGCACAGAAAATAATAATAATGCTACTGAATTTGCAACAGGCTACAATTTACATAATGCATTTACATATGTTATCTTCTTTAATATTCAAACGCTACTTTTGAAGTAAGAATTAGTTTCTACATTTCAGAAATGAATATTTGAGTTGGAGAGCACTCAAATGACTTGTTCAAGGTCACACAATTAACACAGGCCTCAAACCTATCAGAATTCACTGGTGAAAAGACTATGTTCTCAAAGTTATGACTGTGATGGCATTAAGTTTGCCTTCCATTCCTAATCCAAAATATTTCTCCCTCATTTAAATAGTCCTAGAATCTTCCCACTAAGAGCACATTTGATATCTTGGACTTCCAAAAGGTTCTTGTATACATGATAATATTCCCCGAGGGATAGGTGACATAATAAGCCATACTTCAAACTTTTCTAAATAACGCATTCACATATTTGTGATTGTATTAGGTTCCTGTGGCTATTGTAAAAGACTACTACAAACTTCGTGTCTTAGAATCAACAAATTCATTATCTCACAATTCCAGAGGCCAGAAATCCCAAATCAGTATGACTATATTAGGGGTGGGGATGTCAGGGATCCAGATTCTTATCTCTGAACACAAAAGAATTGGAGGATAAGACATGGTTAGCAGAAAAATAAGATTTATTAGCAAATCAAAAGAACATAGTTAAGAGGAAGTATGGGCACACTTTAAAGTGAGTTGCAATCCATGATGTTCAGGGTCATCCCTTTATGTGATCTGTGTCTGGGCAGAGTTTTCCAGGAGAGGATAGATACTTCAAGGAATTTGGTGACAGCCCTATTTCTGGCTTTTTTAGGAACTGTTGGAAGTATCATGACATCAGGTGCATGACTGGAGTGGGAATAACAGCCATAGTAACTTATTATCGTGGTATTATAATTGGCTATAGGTCATCAAGGGGACACAGTCAGCAGCCATGTTGGAAATTTTCAGCAGGTACTGGCTGTGGGAGGCAGCTTTGCTGCAGTTAGGTTTTCAGGCTGCCAGCCATTGGAGGAGTTTTAGAGTTGGCCCGGGTGGTGAGGGTATGCTGACGTCTTTCCTCCAGCTCTCTGTCTGCTCTCTTTCTATAACCTTACCTAGACAACTGAACCAAAATCAGGGCCTGGCCCTCTGAGATTGTCAGGAGGAAACTGCTCTTCCCTCTTTCAGCTTCTGATGGCTGCT